GAGCCAAGATTGAGATGGACAAAGAACTCTGCAGCTGAAGAAGAGCCGGAGCCACAGAGCCGAAGACTGTTCTGCACATGGGGACCAACCCGTTAGCCCCGCAACATGTGGCTTCAAATTGCACTTCTCTCACCAGCTGGGTTCGAGACTCCAAAGACAAAGACCAAGGCAAAGATGAAGATAAAGACAAAGATAAAGAACAAAGGCAAAGAGGAAGAACTGGTGTGTTCCTTCCATGAGACCAGCTCGTCTACATCTCCATGGACCAGAAAGATCGTGAGACGAAGAGAAAGGAGCTACAGAGCTGCAAGACAAGAAGGAGAGGACCGCTACGCGCATGAGGAAGTCACCCTGAGGCCCGAGATCTGCCGCTCTGACTCAGTACTCTTCCTGTACTGGGAGCCTCCTGCCGCTGCAACCCCTTTTTCATCATCAGGCCAGTTCTGGGGTTCAAAATGCCAAACTCCGTCCCTCTCTCAAAGTTTCCCTTTTTTAGTTCACAGTGTCAGCATTAGGGAAAGATAGATCAGATTATTGATTTTACTTGTTTGATTATTTCGGCTACTGAATTAAGCTGTACTGACCCTTGCAAAACTGCCTTAATAATAAAATAATTAGCATTAAGGAAATCTAAAAGATGTTGTGGACATTCAATTAATGAGTCACCTGAAAGTTCTTTGATGCTTGTAAAATAGCTATGAAGTTTGATTCTGGGAGGAAAAAGTGGAAAATGTTTTATAGGTTGCTTTTAGCCAATACTAAAACACCCTTGGGACTCGCCCGAGTCACTAAAACCAACCTGGTTCAGTAACAAGTACAAGTTGTAATAAAGAGAAAGAGCGACCGTTAACAGGTGTGCTCTGTGGAACTAGCTGATTGTGGGCTGCTCGATCTGGCTAGATCACAGGGTGAAAAAGGAGGGACATCTGGAGGCATAGGTCGTTAGAAACCAGGCTAGTCTTTCTCGCACCCAGCTTAAACAGAATATCCTCTATATTCTCATCTGTAGTAATACTCAGGAGTTAGAGGCATCTCGGACCCGTTAGATGGAGAGCTGGGAGCAACATCTCCCTCCTCTCAGAAGGGGAANTGATAAAAGCTGGTTAGCTCTTGAATTGCTACAAAATAAAGCTGTATGTCCCTCAGCCCACTGGCTGCAATGTTGACACCTTGTCATGCCATGAGACCTAAATTCTGAACATCATGGCATGGAGTGCATCCCAGTTTTCCATGTCTGGCATATAACCGTTCATTTCAATTGATTATCACTTCAATTTTTAGAGTTATTTTTTTTAACAAAAGCCCTACTAGGGACAAGTGCTGCGAATTAGCTGCTGCTATTGCACCATGATGCAAACATGGGACTGCTGTTTTATTCAGTTTGTCTATGTCGATGTGTGTCTGTCCCTGTCAAATAAACTTTATAATACTTTTAGCTTTTAAACTGGTTATATTGATCAGTAAGCCTATCATGACCTGTTTGTTCTGATGATCCTGCAGCTTCCACTTCATCTTCCTAACATGATGCCTCCTCACCCTGACTCTCATACTGATAGGAGGAACCACAGAGCTCTGTTAAGTTAAAAGCTCATCTTCTGAAATTGGGATATTTTTCCTCCAACAGGTTCCAGAGGAATCACCTCAAACTAGATGTTAGACTGGATTTTATTTCAATGTCATTTGTGAATGTTAGAGCCTCATTTTCAACAGTGGAGCTATAAAGGTTGAAAAAGGTTATCATTTTGGAGTAAGTCTCATCAACATCAATATTTCCACTAAATAAGAGGCAAAAAAATTTGTTTGATAAAGGAAAAGCCTCTCAGACTCTGAGCCTGTCAGCACCAAACTATTTTTTATATTAGACAATGAATTTGATTTCACATAATTATCGCAGAAGCCATTTGTTAGTTGAATACTTAATGAAACATATTTACTGTGTTTGATGTTTGTTGTAAATAACGTATAGTCACAGACTAACGAGGTAAAGTTTGTCTTTTATTGAACGTTCAGAAACTACAGCGGCTGTAAAGAGCCACAGCAAAGAAAACAACCTGAACAGGTGATCAACTCTAAACCACTCGCACCTTTTTACTGTCTCTGACATTTAAGCACACCCGTTGCCATGGCAATCGCCTGCGCCCTGCAAACCGAGCGAAGATTACGTTAAAAACATAACATTCAGTCCGTTACGATATTAGGTTTGCGGGCTTGATATTTATTTTGCGATCATTATTAAGCCTCCTTGAACACAGTGGTGGTTGATTAGTTCATTTTAAACTCCTGCTCTGCTCGTTATTTTGGAAATGGAACCGAAACGCACAGAATTGCGCAACACCTTGTTGAAATTATAATGATTATTATTGTTGTTGGGTCATTAATTTGAACACGTTTTGTTGATTTTGTTGTTGTTCTTATGATAGAAAATTTCGTTTTTAGTCTTATTTTATTTTTGATGGAACTGATGATACTTTTTACCATTTATTTACTGATTATATCTGCTGTGTTTTTGTATTTTTGTAAGATGTGTTTTTCCATTAAAGAAGTTTCCAGATAATGTTTAGATGTTTCCGCAGCCATGATAGCAGAAGAGACCTGAAGACATCTTGGGTAAAATGCTTGATCTGGTAATTGTCGTGAAGGACTGATGTGTGGAATGTAGTTTGTACCCTGTTTGACCTGCACCCATGAGTAACTGACAAAGAAGAATTAGAAGTTTCTCCTGAAATCCTTAACAGTTCTCTTTCTTGCCATAAAATCATCCCCTCCAAGAGGTGAGGGATAGTTCATGAGGTGGGGGTCAGGATTGTCTCTGTGGTCCATCTGGTAGTAGAGATAAGATCAGACTTTGGGTGGGTCTTTGTCTTGCTGTGACTATAACGATGTGAAGTGTGTTGTTCAGGGTTCTTCTCCTGACTGCGCTCAGTGAGAGGGGTCTTCGAACACTTTTGCCTTCGAATAAAGAAACTTAAAGACAAAGATTAATCTTTCTCTACTTATTGAAACAGATTCTCATTCCTTCATAAAATTTCTATAACATTCTTTAATAAAGTTACGAACGTTTTAAGCGAGTCAGAGGAGGACGCACTGGTCTCAGTGTCATGGCGGCGTTCAGTTTGTCACCTAATGCCGAGATCGACTCAAAACCCTCCGCAATCGACATATCGCACCGCTGCTCTAGCAAAGCACGAACAGTTCAGAAACAATATGAAATGGGAAAAAAGTTATTTATTAACTCATCAAGTCGTGTTTTAGATTGTTCTTGAAAAACTAATCAGTCACGGCTAATTAGTGGGTAAACTCACAGCTGCACAGTGAACCCAATGATTTTTTACAGCAGACAGCCGCTCCCCTCTCTTGCAGGTACTGCGTACCCCCGCTAAATCTTTTAGGGGTACGCAGTACCCTACAGTACCCCCTTTCTTTCACCCCTGCTTATACCTGTGAATCTGCGTATGGTTTGAGATACTGACTTGCAACAGCCACAGGAAGGATGTTTGTGGCTTTGACTTTACCTTTGACAGGTAGAAAAATGGTCCACTCTGGTGTTCAAGCAGTGTCCTTCCACAGTGATACATGAGTAGGCCAAAGTCAAACAGAGGACCAGGAGCTTCCTTTCCCTCCACCTGATGGTTTTGGTTTCAGTAAATATCAACATGAAGACTTCCAAACCCCAGCTTTAATGTCCCCATGGCAAACACAATCATTTAGGTGATTTAAGTGACATCCATGCAGCCAAAGTAGCCTTAAGGAGCATAAATAAACGTAGCAGTAGCATGTTACCATCATGTTGTGCTCCACCATGTTCCAGGCCCGGGGACGCAACATCAGGACTGGAGCCCGGGAGATATGTGGGGCCCCTGCATTCCCACAAGAGAATCACAAAAACATCAGGACTCATCAGAACAAGTGTTCTGTCTTCTACTCTAACAAATACTGTAATGCAAAATGAACATGGCTGTAAAGTCAGACACTCACCAGGGAGTCGGTTGTTCACTGCCAGAATGACATTGTGAATCCCTTTGATCTGGTTGTGGAACGTTGGGCAGTTCCCATCATCAAAGTCAACCTGAGAAAAGTGAAAAGAAGATTTCATTCAACTAAAGGTTATAACCAGGGAAATGTTGGCAGCATTAGTTTTAAACAATGCTCATGAACGAAAACTGCCCACTTAGAGAACCCATCAGTGAACTGAGACATTGCTACAATGTGTGCATCTGTGCAGAGAACATAAAGATAAGCTGAACACATGTAGTGTGAATGTTACACATAGAGATGAGTTTCAGATCAGAGCCTGAAGCCCGACTTTAGATCTGCAGCAGGATAAACAAACATCCACCTCTTTGCTCATTTTGGGTTTATCTTCTGCTAATTGCTTTCAGCATTCTGAATCCAAAGGTTTGGGTTCATGGTAATAGATGTCAAAAAGGGCAATAGCTTCAGATTCAATAAATAATTAATTAATTTCACAAATAGTGTCGAGAAAAG